CACACACACACACACACACACACACACACACACACACACACACACAGAGGAATATATGATTTGAGTGCATCTTAGTATCAAAGGGGTTTTTAATGCTTATATGACACAGGCTTGTACCCGTGTGTGTTTCTTTTTGGTGACTCGGCACATTTGTTGCTGAATCTGCAAACGTTAAACGTCATCTTCCATTCTTCAACCACACTGTGTCCATCTGTGTGTCCACAGCGCAGACCTGTGAGTGCTTAGGATTTATCAATAACACAAATGTCATCTTTTCTCTTCCCGCCACCCCCTGCGTTTGTCTCTCTCTCTCTCTCTCTGCAGCCTTTCATGTCACCGCGGTATCCAGGTGGACCACGCCCCTCACTCCGAATGCCAAATCAGGTAATCGATAAATATTTGGTTCAATTTGACACCTCAGAGGAGCAGCGCTGCCAACATCACACACTTATTTTGAGTTTTCATGGTGTTGTTTTTTTCTCCTCTCAGCCTCCTGGTGGAATCCCAGGGTCTCAGCCTCTCCTGCCAAACAGTTTGGACCCAACAAGACCGCAAGGTAAGGCTCCCAAAGCCGATCACCTCCTTTAGTCTGAGCTGATATGGTTTAGCAGATGGAGGTTTCGGTCACAGATTACAGCTACAGTAGGTTTGTGGGTTAAAACTAAAGGGATTCAGATGATTTATCTCCTGTGGCGCATCTTAATTCCAAAGGAAAGACGTTTTGTAGATTTACTATTGTTTTTTGTTTGTTTTTTTTCCTCGCAGGACATCCTAACATGGGTGGACCAATGAGAATGAATCCTCCCAGAGGAATGGCCATGGGCCCACAGGTACAATTTACACAGAATGAACAGGGCTTCTCTTAGACTTTAGTTTCTGTTTGATTGTAATGGCAGCTGTAGGACCTCATTTAATTGAATATAGCCTCTAAATTCAGATATGTTTTTGTCTAACTCAGTTTCCAGTCCACATTTCATTCTATAATATTGTTTTTAATTTTTTTTATTTCATATCTCAGAATTACGGTGGCATGAGGCCTCCTCCAAACTCTATGGGTGGTCCCATGCCAGGAATGAACATGTAAGTCCAGTAAATAGTCTGTTCTTTAGCTCCTGTCTTCAGTTCACTGATATCTGAAGAAGCCATTGTTTTTAGTTTTAACTCTTGCCTTCTTTGGCTTCTTGTCTAAATTTCCAGATGTTTGAGTGTGACATTATGAAAAGCCAAATAAGTTACAGATTGTTTTTTTAAAGGTATTCATACTTGAAATTTAAGAGCTTTTAATTTCAATAAACATTCTTATAATTCTAATAAAATATGTCTGTTTTGTTCTGTATTTTGTTAAAATACGAGAGACATCAATTTTTTGTAATAAATATAAAAGCATTTTTGGAAAGATAACATTAACAACATCCCACATAGCTACATTTGTCTGGCCCAGTTCTGGCCCACACAATGAATAACGGCCCAGAGGTGGTCCATGCATGGGCCGTCTTAAAAACAGCGCCATCATTGCCTGACTTGACTCACATCTGGTTGACAAACCACAGCAGTGCCAGCTAGTCATCAAATCTGGCCRACACCTGTCTGCTATGAGGGATATTACAAAAAGTTTAGAGGAACAGTTGTTGAGGTCTTTGTGCAGTAATAGGAGGTGATGACAAAGAGGAACACCTGCATATATTTCTACAGTGGCTAAAAAAACATCAGATTCTTTGCTGCTGTCTGTGTTAGAGTGTTTTGAGTCATTTGAGAGTTCAGTTTTAATAAAGACCAGGTAGTTCCCCTTTAATGTCACTTCAGGTTTCACTTTGGCCGTGCCAAGTCCAAAAGAAAATATGCCAGTTATGGGACAAATGGGCAGTTTTTTAAACATTAATAGGCTTTCTCCCACTTTTATTCGTAGGATATTCATGTCACACACATTTTAATGTCATTGATGTCTTCTTCATATTGTTGCCTTCTGTAAAGATCTGCCATTCTTTTTCTCCTGTTATTCTTGTTCTTCTGCTCTCACTCGCTTTTCCTCAGGGGTCCTGGAGGAAGGGGGCCTTGGCCAGGACCTAATGCAAACTCTGTGAGTCGACAAGCTTTGCATGAACACTGACTACAAACACAGAAAAATGTTTCCACCATGTGCAAACATCCCCACAAAAAGCAAAACACTTTGGGCTGTAGCTCATTTTGTGATTATTTCTAATGTTGCCTTATCGATGTTAATATTTGAGCTCTGTTAGTGGATTTTAAAGGTTAATTTTAGTCTCCACTGTGGCTCACTGGCTTATATAAATACTTTGTGACCCTGTTTGCTCCTCTCTCCCCTGCAGATAGCCTACTCCTCCTCGTCTCCAGGAAACTACGTGGTGAGTTTAAATTCATCAAATAAACATGACTACTCTTAAGGATGCACTGTGTGTGATATTTATCCTGTGTTTGTTTGATTTCCAGGGTCCCCCGGGTGGAGGAGGACCACCAGGAACTCCCATCATGCCCAGCCCAGGTGGTGCGTCACCCATGTCCCCAGCACTAACACTTGTCTCACGTCCTTTTTTTTGTTTGATTTTTGTCCCCTCATCAACTAAGAGCCATCTAAGTGTTCTCATTTTTCTAATTTGTTTTCATTTCTGTATTTGATTTGCTGCTTGATGACTTGACACTGATACTTCYATGCTAATATTAGCTGCTTTTGTCTTTTGATTAGATTCAACTAACTCCAGTGAAAACATCTACACAATGATGAATCCTATTGGACCAGGAGGCAACAGACCCAATGTGAGTGTTTCTGTGATTCAACAACATATTTGTCACTTTCTTTTTGTTTTTATTTTCGTAACGTCCACTAGAAACTTTGGTTTCCAACTGCAGATTGATTCTAGGGTAAATTAGTGATAATAAAAGCTACACAAAGATATTATTCAGCTACAGCAGGGTTTATACATACTGTGCATTATATAAGGTTCTGGCAATCACTTCTCCAAACCTCTGGGAAAACAGAAATTAACACAGTAATAATTGAAACACCTGAACTTCTAACTGGCAATGCATCTAAAATATGCTATCAATCAAAATGAAAAAAAAAAAACTTCCTCATGGCAGAGCGCACCCCCTCCCCAAACACCCCGCCCGTGACTCCTGCAGGCTCTCGGGTGAAAGTGAAAGTGAAACCTAACTGTCTGCTGAGCTCTCAACATTAGTTCTCACTCAGTGAAGCTCTTTTCAGATTAAAAATACCTTTGAGGAAATGTATTTTCAGATGCCAAGTAAACTGCATCATGGCAGCCCCCTCTCCCCCACGAGCGCGACTTTTTTTGAGAGTTTTGAAAACTTTTCAAAAAGTAAAAAATAAAATTGTCACAMTCCGAGACGGTGCTGGACCATTGAAACTGGCGGGATTTCCATTTACCATTCAAACTGCACTTTGAATAGAAACAGACACATTTTTTTAAATATAGAACAAAAACTACAAGACATAAAAGGAAACGCCTGATTCACCAAAGAGCTGTAATAAGAAGTAAATATTGTCTTTTTTTCACCTTCAAAATTTGTTTCAAAAGCATTTTTAAAGCTAAATAACAAGTCCAAAAATACCTTTAAAAAAGAAGTGTTCTACCTATAAAGTACTTTAGCAAAAAGCCATGGTTTTTGGTAATGAGATTACAGAAAGAAAATTAAAGGCATCAAAGATGGCAGCTTGAGTACACTATAAAAAATGTTTTTCTTAAAAATACTGAATCTTGAAATTTGTTCAGTAGAATTGAACAAAATTTCAGTGCTTTTATTTGACACAAAAAAAGAGCAAAAAGAAAAAGAAAAATCACATCTGTTGTGAATTTTAAACTTTGAGTGTCAGTACCTGATTAATTATTAGAAATACTTAATGCCAAAAAGAACTGATCAGAAAATTACCCAGGGAAGGAGGATAAATTAAATAACCTTGGCTTTGCCCCCAGTTGAAAAATTCACAAGTACATCTCTGAGTTTAGAGATTAAGAACATTGTTGCAGTCATTCATAACGCTTGCTCCACATCCTCTCTCCAGTTTCCTATGGGACCAGGGCCTGACGGGCCCATGGGAGCAATGGGAGCGATGGAACCACACCACATGAACGGATCGCTAGGTGGGTTTAAACACAGGAGGACTAATGATGCTTTTCTCCTGGGTTAAACTCAATTTAACCTTTTCTGTTCTCAGGGTCTGGGGATATGGACGGGTTGCCAAAGGTGAGTAAATATCGAGAGTTTCCCTCTAAATATTATTTAGATTTACTTCTCTTGGAAAGAGGTGGTTGATCAGTGTTTTTCACCCTCTCCTCCCCCCACAACCAGAGCTCTCCTAACAACATGGGAGGCATGAACAACCCTCCGGGAACGCCGCGAGACGACGGCGAAATGGGCGGCAACTTCTTGAACCCATTCCAAAGTGAAAGTGTGAGTGGAGTGTGTTACTGACATCTCACAACCCCTAACCGTTATCCTCGCTGTCCTGACGTGAACCAGTGGAAGAATGCAAGCAGAGAGGCTTGACATTTTTCTCTTATCTCAGATCATGAATTCACTTTTTTAGAAGATAAAATGTGTTTTGTCCCTTTTTTTTAACTAATTTATTCATTTACTTTTGTTGTTAGTCTAGCAAATACTTGTGGATAAAAAGATGGCTATTGACCTGACATTTTAGCTTCTCAGACTTTACTTTTCTCTTATGAAACGGCTTCAAACAAGTGTGTCAAACTCATTTTCACTGAGGGCCACATGAGCATTATGTTTGCCCTCAAAGGGCCAGCTGTAATTAACTTTGACTAAAGGTCACGTTCCTTGTCTCGTTGCTACAGCTGAACACTGCTAACAAATAATAACTGAGCTCTACGTGGTGTTTCCTACATAGAAACAGCGTTTTAACACAACCTCTTAAATTTTTAAAAGTACCAAATGTTTTACTCACTGTTGTGGTGAGTAGCTGCCATCTTGAATTCTGAACTCTCCCACTTTCTGACAGGGTATTCCCACTTGAGCTTAAACTCATAATTTGTAAGTGGGAAATTACCACTTCCCAGTTCAGCTGGGCTATAGCAAAAGTAGCTGTCAAAAATGCAGTAAAACAATTTACACAGCAAATTTCTCCAGCTGCCAACTACATTTGAACATTGTGCACCTCCACCTAGTGGTGGGATGCCTTCATTTCACAGGTAAAATAACTAACATGCATTAAGTAATGTAGTTCATGGTCAAGCTAGCTTTAAAGTAGCATACGCTTATATTAAGACAATACATCTTTGAAGCTCTCGTGAGCCACGTAGAATGTCATGACGGACCACATTAAGCCCACAGGCCTTGAGTTTGACATGTGGTTTAGAAGAAGGGGATTCACCAACTCATAATCGTTCTGCTCAGGGCCAGCAAAGTAAAAAATAAAAAAACTAGACCCAGTCCAAATGGAGCAATAGGAATAAGACTGGATAAATAGACAGATCTCAATGAGCCGAGTGATGAAACCAGCATCTCCAACAAAAAACTGAATTCTGCTTCTGTGCTCGTTACGACACAACGCAGGAGCTGAGTGTTAAGCTGCCAAGACGCACTTGGCAGTTCATCAGGACCACACTGATTCTAAATAAACCCAGCACCAACCGAGGGTTGCGTCTTGGTCACAATTAGCCGAGCAGATGTGGGAAGAATATTGGTTTTAGGCGTCGAGCCCTTCCTTAATCACAAACTCACAAAAAAATAGAGGAACATAATAATAAAATAGTGTTTTTTTAACTTGGGACACAGCACTGCAAATTAAAAACTATATTTTATTTTTCTGCTTGCATTGTAGCCGCTCACTTATCACTTACAAATCATTCTGCCCCCTCTGTATCAGTGATCACAGCTGAGTCAYTCTGAAGCCTTTAACTGTCTGAACACTGTAAGAAGTGGGGATTTGTCTAACTGAAACTCTCCTGGGAATATTTGGTCTTAGGTGTAGAACCATACAGTACTGTTCCTTACATTGTGTAAATCTGTGACGGTGTCCTACCCTGGTCCTGGAGAGCCTCAGGCTGACCTCTGACCGATGGATTCAACCAATCATCTGTCCTGAACAGACGTGACATCACAGACTGTGAACATCTGCTCTGTAAATCTGAGGATGCAGAGCGAATTCTGAATCTTTTCTTATTTTCTGTCTGTAAAGAGTTTGAGTCTCATCTAAGGCTACGTTCACACTGCAGGACTTAAAGCTCAAATCTCATTATTTTGTGTGGATATTCACATATTTTTAGTTGCATTCACACCAGGCCTGTTTAGTCCTCTTTAACCAAACTCTAGTTTGTTTTCTTAGAAAGTCCTGTTCGTTGGGAGATGTTGTGAATACATAATTGAACTCTGTGGACCAAAAAGAGCTAAATCTGGCCCACCTACAAACCTAGGTTTCAGCTCGGCATTTTATTTTTTTAGAACAGGAGCGACGTGTTGAAAGTAAACCAAACCATCCAATAAGTTTAGTATCAGTGTCATCCAGGACATGAAAAATAAAAAGATAAATATATGAAGCAACTTAATTTCTGTTCTGCAGCTGAAGATGTGCAGAATTCTAAGGTTTAAACTGAGTGACTCAAGGGTTAGTGTTATTATTTTTGTTTGGATCGATTTGCTCGCCCCCACCTCACTGAGACGATGAAATGCGACACAAACATTCAAACTGAGGTTGCGTTAAAAAACGTCAGACGTGTATCTGATTTATACCACATACTAAGAAGGCCTGGCTCAGGGTTGTCTCGTTCAGACTGTCGTGTAAAAACTCTGAGATGAGTGGCGTTTACCTGCAGAGTGAACGTAGCCTGAGATAACCTGATTGAGGAGTCTGAGTCCTGGGGCTCTGCAGGGCTGGGTTTGGGCGCCCTCTGGTGTTTAAATGTTGTCGTTGACATATCAGCTCATCTGTGCCCTCCTCCCTCCCCTTTCCCCTCTTTCTCTTTTCAGTATTCACCCAACATGACGATGAGTGTGTGATTTTCTTTTTCTTTTTTTTTCTTTTTGTTTTTTTTATTGGTATTTTTTTCTTCCCTCCCTTAAATTTTTGTGACCCCACACCCATTTGTTTTTAAATTAAAATCCTTCCTCCACCTTGGATTGGACCACTCCTTACAAACACACACACACACACACCCTCCCCATCTGCCCTCTTCCCCTGATGGGACCCTCCACCACCACCCGCCGCCGCCGCACGCCACCCCCCGCTGTCCTCCTCCCACCCGGGAACTCCACGGCCACGCACCGAACGCAGCCTTCCGGGACYGCTCTAGAGCATGCTGGGACTCTAATTAAGTCGGGCCCTCCTGGAGCGTGCAAAATGGCCGCGGGTGTGAACAGGAAGCAGTCGCAGAGCAACAGGAAGAGCCTCCTCTCCGGCTTTCTGTCAGCATCCAGACAGTGAGGGGACGGTGCCACAGAGAGAAGAGACTGYACACAGCCCTCCCTCACAGACGCAGTTTCTCTCTGCAGCTGCCTGGAACCGTATCAACCACAACGTTGAATCTTTTATTTTATTTTCTGCTTTATTATTTTTTTTAAATCATCTTTTTTGTCGCTGCTGTTCCCGACAGATCCAGTGGCAGGTCGAATGAAACCACCTCTGTGTCCCTCCCACACTGTTTTACATGCGTGTACATTTGTAACAGAGGTGTTGTGACGATCAATGAACATGTTTTTTTTTCCATATATTTTTGTGTATGTATTGTTATTTTTATTATTGTATTATTGTTATTAATAATAATATTGGTATGATCATTTTAAGACTAGGTTCTAATATTGTTTTATTGTTGTTGTTTATTACGGGCACATTATCACAATGAAGACAGCACATGTGCACACAAGTCAGAAATCATTTTGCTGTGTAAGATTATTGCTTTTTTATCAGCACACCGCCCCCTGCTGGTAAGATTATGTCCATCATGGTACTGATTGGTTTTTATTCATCTTTTATTTGTTTTTGTTTAGTTTTTGCTAACGAGCAGAAGCCTCTTTAGCAGCTTCCCTGCAGTAAAATACACAGCTCTATTTATTTATGTACTTTTAATATGTTTCTGAACTTTTATTACCTTTTTTTAAGTGTTTTTTTCCATTTTTTTTTTTTTTTTTTTAGTCAACCGCAGAACTAGTAGCAGATGCGCTCAGGAGCGACTCCTCTCTGTTTGATATTATTAGGCCCCGCCCCTCCTCCCATCTGAGCCCTGAAGGTGCTGAAGAGGTCACTGAGGTTTGACCCCGCCCGGCATTCTTCACTGAACAGGTCCTTCTCAAAAATCTAGCATATTGTGATAAAGTTCATTATTTTCTGTAATGTACTGATAAACATTCATATATTTGGGGACCTTTCTGGGTAGAGTTTGCATGCTCTCTCCGTGTATGCGTGGGTTCTCTCCGGGTACTCCGGCTTCCTCCCACAGACCAAAAACATGACTGTTAGGTTAATTGATAACTCTAAATTGTCCCTAGGTGTGAGTGAGAGAGTGAATGGTNTCTCTATGTGTGGCCCTGTGATGGACTTGCGACCTGTCCAGGGTGTACCCCGCCCCTCGCACTGTGACTGCTGGATATGGGCACCAGTGACCCACGCAACCCTGAAAAGGAAGAAGCGTGTACAGAAAATGGATGGATGGATGGATGCACACCAACTGAAGTAGTTCAAGCCTTTATTTTAATATTGATGATTTTGGCAAAAAAGTAAAGAAAAATCAAAAATCCCTATCTCATAAAATTAGCATATTTCATCCGACCAATAAAAGAAAAGTGTTTTTAATACAAAAAAAAGTCAACCTTTAAATAATTATGTTCAGTTATGCACTCAATACTTGGTCGGGAATTCTTTTGCAGAAATGACTGCTTCAATGCAGCGTGGCATGGAGGCAATCAGCCTGTGSCACTGCTGAGGTGTTATGGAGGCCCAGGATGCTTCGATAGCGGCCTTAAGCTCATCCAGAGTGTTGGGTCTTGTGTCTCTCAACTTCCTCTTCACAATATCCCACAGATTRTCTSTGGGGTTCAGGTCAGGAGAGTGGGCAGGCCAATTGAGCCCAGTAATACCATGGTCAGTAAACCATTTACCAGTGGTTTTGGCACTGTGAGCAGGTGCCAGGTCGTGCCGAAAAATGAAATCTTCATCTCCATAAAGCTTTTCAGCAGATGGAGGCATGAAGTGCTCCAAAATCTGAAGGCTAGCTGCATTGACCCTGGCCTTGATAAAACACAGTGGACCAACACCAGCAGCTGACATGGCACCCCAGACCATCACTGACTGACACCTCTTCTCGTTGTGCAGCGTTTTCTGCCACACTTTTTCCTTTCCACAGACTTCCCACTGAGGTGCCTTGATACAGCACTCTGGGAACAGCCTGTTAATTCAGAAATGTCTTTCTGTGTCTTACCCTCTTGCTTGAGGGTCTCAATGATGGCCTTCTGGACAGCAGTCAGGTCAGCAGTCTMACCCATGATTGTGGTTTTGAGTAATGAACCAGGCTGGGAGTTTTTAAAAGCCTCAGGAATCTTTTGCAGGTGTTTAGAGTTAATTTGTTGATTCAGATGATTAGGTTAATAAGTCGTTTAGAGCAGTGGTTCCCAAAGTTGGGGTCGGGACTCAAAGTGGGGTCCTGAAACATCAAGGTGGGGTCCTGAACAGATTTTCCATATTAATTACATTTTTGCCTTAGTTGCTTGAAATGTAAATATGTAGAATAATAAATAGTGTTACTATGCCCATGTTTTATTGACCTGATACAAATGTTTATCATCCAAAAATAGTTGTGGGCACAGGTCTCTGCTACTGTTATTTTGTGGGTCAAAAGCTGAAAAGTTTGGGAACCACTGCACCTCAGAAATCAATTTAAAGGGTAATAAAGTAATTGGTGATGTCATTTTTCCCTATAGTTATTACAAAAACACAAAATAAGTATAAATAAGTATTTATATTGGTGTAGCCTTTGTTTTTAGGGTTATTAACGTTTGTGTATTCAGACCAGTAATTTTTGGGGTCACAAGTTTTTGCCATGAATATTTATCAGGTCAGAAGATAAAAAGTTTGGGAACCACTGGTTTAGAAAACCTTTTCATGATATGCTAATTTTATGAGATAGGGATTTTTGTTTTTTCTTTACTTGTTTGCCAAAATCATCAATAGTAAAACAATAAAAGGCTTGCACTACTTCAGTTGGTGTGCAATGAATCTAAAATAAATGAAAGTTTAATGTTTATCAGTACATTACAGAAAATAATGAACTTTATCACAATATGCTAGTTTTTTGAGAAGGACCTGTACAGTGCACATATTTTGTGATCTCTTTCTGCTGATGTCAGCTCTTCTGTTTGTTTGCAGATTAGTTCAGGTCTTGCATGTTTGTGGTTTATTGGACCTCAGTCAGCAGGTAGGACAGTGGCAGGACGACCTGCTGATTCAGCTCTGAGTGTTGGTTGTGGAGATTAGCAGGTTGGAAGCAGCGAAAGCCTTTGCTCTGTCGACTGTAAACGAACGGCGTCCCCCCCCCACCTTTTCTCACCTTTCCACCAGGCCGCCACTCCTGAATCCACCTCCCTTCTCCCCATCTTTTGACTTCGATTCGTTTTTATTTTTCTTTTGTAAATATTGTAAAATGCATTTTGATATCATTGACATGTTTTGATATTTCAGAATCACAGCTGATCAGTGAAGCGTGCTGATTCAGGCGACTGTGTGTATTTGTGCAGAGATATGACGTGTCTTTTGCTCAGAGTTAACACAAACAAGGAGAGAGCGGAGCTGCTGCAGACCACGATGCTTTTTCACCTCATGACGAACAGACGGACGGACGCTTGGGGGCTCTGCGCCACATCAGAGCGTCACAAGGTCCATCAGGACAAAGAAGGAAACGATTCGTGGGACAAATCTCTGCCACAGTCCTTTCCTTAAAATCTCATCTTAAACGTAAATCTGCATCTGTTCACACAAAAATTAATTAACTGTTATTTTCTGGCAGGATTGAAAAGGACAGCGTGAAGGAGGACAGGTTATTCGCAATAAAAACAGCATTTTTGTTTTGTTGTTTTTGTTCAGACCGTTGCAATTGATGCAAAACACACCAGACTCTGGCTCTCAATCCGACACATCGAGGACCAGGAAACATAATTTTACTATGAAGGATTTTAAAATAAATCTATCTGAATTAGTGTCAGAGGAACTATTAGTGTAAGTAAAAGGAAGATGACAAATAAGATGWGGTGGAGAGAGTTCAGGAACGTGCATTTCCTCCCCGTGTACCTTTTGAAATATTGTATAAAATGCAGTCCGACTTTTCTCTTTCTGTCCTGTAAGTAAAGCTGTCACACTGTTGATCATTTCTGTATTTCTATTGTGCTGATGTATAATACTGTAACATTAAAGGGTCAGGGAGGGCAAGAGGACTTTGGAGGGGAATGAGAGCAAAGATTTTTTTTCCCCCTGTTCAGTTTCCTCTTGATGACAAAGCAGTATTGAATATGAGGCAGTCTGTCCCAGGGAAGTTGCTTTGTATCATGTTAGGGTAGTTTCAGATCCTAAATGTCTTGTGTAGTAAAATAAGAGGTTCCTTCGTACGTTTCTTTATATTGTAAAGTTGCTTTAGACAAAAAAAAATGTTGCTTAATGCGGAAATTTAAGGTGGGAACTCTGCGTTGATAATTAATGTACTTTATTTTTTTGTTCTGTTAATTTTCATCAACTTGTCAGTCGTTTTTTGCCTGTGTCCCCCTTGTTGTAGATACATATTAAAAACAAATAAAATGACTTCACTCCTTTTGCCATGAGATGACTTAAATTTTTTCCCTTAGATTTTAAGCCATTAAATTGTGGGGCGAATTTCCTAGTACGAGGAAAGTATATTTCATACCTTTTCATTCACTTGAATGGCTCAGAAACAAATTAGCTTTAGCTTTTTGAAAACAGGAAGATGAGTTTTTAGATTTGTTTTTACATTTTCAGAAAGTATTAGAAAAAACTAAAAACACTTAAAAGATCAATTACTGTTTCCTTTTTTGCTGTTTTTTAATGGTTACTTTGGCTTTCAACTCACTTATGATCAAACCATTTTTAATGCAAATAATTTATTAAGTTTATTGAAAAATCAACATGACATTTAGAT